TGGTCTGTTGGTGATTCAGATTGCGTTTCAGGACCGCCCGAACTCGATGGATTGGGACGGGTGGTGGTGTTGGTTTATGCTTGCAAATGAACAAGGACTGGGGCTTCTGGAGGGTTGCTTTGGCTCGTCGGTGGCCTTGGCTTCGTGGGAGCCTTTACTAGAGCGACAGGTGTGGTCCGGCGCGGTGCTGCCTACCGGCCGGGGGTTTCGGGATGAGCGGGGCCGGGTCGGATATCAACGGGACCCACTCTGCCCGCGGAGGCCCGGTTCCGCGCCGGAGAACATCCGGGCCAACGGCGGACCAGCCATGTGCATTGTGAGTCACACATGAGTTATGGAAAAAAAAACATCGACTTGCAAAAATGCGAATCGATTCTAGCAATATTTACTGCATGACGGCCTGTGGCTTGGAAAGAAAACAAGTTTTGCATAGTCAAGCCGTACATCTTGTTGATATACATGCGGCATCTAGGAAAACATCACTCGGCTCCGTTTAAACGCTTCCGAGTCAATTTGAATAAATCCATTCTGCCGGGACGTGACGCTAACAGACCGGACTCGGAGCCGCCGCAATGTGGGATAGAACGCCGATGTGGGTCACAGAACGCCGCTCCAGGCCTGTCCAGCTCCGTCGTCAATATCACGCCAGACAAGCTTGCCTGACACCGCACAAGCTTTTCGCTTTCCCCGATTTCCCGGCGGTAAATAGCAGCTTTTGTATGCCCCATTTCCACGTCGGGCTGCGCCCGACCACATAATCTACGAGTCCCTCGGGTCCATGTCATCGGCAACTTCCGACACGTGGCCCCCGCCCCCTGGCCCCTGACTGTCAGTCTGCCCCCAAATTTCGGGGACTTAAGCATCGCGATGTTAGATTCTCTTCTGCATGATACAACACATAGCACGATATCCGAGTCGAATTGGAAGTGATTCAATAAGTTGCTGCATGTTGCCGTCTCTTGCACTGCTTCCATCTGCTAACTTGCTCATCCTCAATCTCAATTCCGTCAATCCGGTCATCGTGGAGATCTCGGGTAGCTTCACCCACAACCCTTAGAGACCGGGGTGCCAAGACCCATAAGTCGGTCCCCGACACCACCATCACGGTTCGGATTTTTCCTCCTGTCTCCACCGATCGGGCTGTCACTCATATGGCTGACGCAGAATATCTCCATCACTGCCGGCCGGCACTTGGGAGCCCCCTGCCACCAGCGTGCATCATTGCCCATTCTTCCCACTCGAGTGGGGGATCACTATCCCCGTCGCACATCAGCTTGATGAGTGGTTTGTTTGCATGGCCTCTCCCATCTAGACTCATCGGACGAACAGTTATTTCCATACACCTGTGGAGATCCTTTCCCTCTTTCGCACCCGCCGGTCGGCGTGATTGGAAGACAGACCCATGCTTTCTCTAAATAAGGACGCGTCGTCAGGACGCTGGCGACGGGGCCCTGCTTGATGCGGTGATGCCGTTCATCCCATCTGCGTTGCGTTTTGTCTCATGACTTTTCGTCTTACAACGCCGCCGAAGTAGCTTGCTTTCGTGTCTTCCCCTCGACACTTCACACATCATGAGGCCAGCGGTCAATTTCCGCCCCCATGGAAACGACGCCAGCGTGCGCGGATTCCGTACCCGGAGACCGTCGCCGATGGCGTTTGCGCCGAGGAAGGCGCTCTAGGCCAGAGCTGGAACGGGGCGGGTGGACACTGCTCGTCGTAAGCTTGGCACCACTTTTCGACCATCCCCCATGCCTGCAACTACTGTTTCTTGGTTGGCCTGAAGGCGCAGCTTTTCCGACTGAACGGTTAGAGAATGGTTATAATAGGGGCTTTGCGGGTTTGTTGCTTTCTAGAAGCTTTATCTACTCATGCTGTCCCAGCTGCCTGGCTTCTTCCGTCGCTGCAGTGCAATCGCTCATCCCAAGCAGTCTTTCATTACTCACTTACAGTCTTTACCCTGCCGCGTCTCTTTTTAAGCTTAGTGAGTAGATACTAGCGCTTGTCGACCATGTACCGCCCATCGACGGCCTGGGCTTTGGCCATCCTCACCTATGTGACTGGCACTCTAGCTGCTGATGCTTCGGCCAACTACACCGAGCAGCTGTTGAGCTCAGGCACAAGTAAGTATTGCTACTATACCTCACTGCTATGTCTGTTCCTCGAAATAATTCTTACAATTTACTAGTCAAGCTCGGAGCCTGGCAGGATGCCTATGACAAGGCCGCAGCCCTCGTCGCCACTCTGACCACGGACGAAAAGATCTCCATCGCGGCCGGTGGCGACGGCGGCAACTTCACTGGCCTTCACAACCTCGACTCGGCCACCAACCCTCTCACATACTTCTATGTCACAACATGGCCCGCCGGCCTCGCAATGGCCATGACGTGGGACACGGCCGCGGCTGAAGGCCAGGGCCAGGGTGTGGGTACCGAGTTCAAGGGGAAGGGTATCAACATGGCGTACGGACCTACCCTGGAGCCTCTCGGACGCTCGGCATGGGGTGGCCGCACCGGTGAGACGTATGGTGTCGACAGCTACCAAGCCGGCATCATGGCTGGAGCAGTCGTCAAGGGCATGTCTTCGGCTGGCGTCGTCGCCAGTGCTAAGCACTTCATCCTGAATGAGCAGGAGACAAACCGAATGAGCACCGGTTCTGGAGGCGGCATGGGTGGCGGATCGCCTCCTGACGCCGCAGGACCGGGTGGTAACTCGACTCTCACCAGGCGTCAGACCTCGACAAACGGCACAACCAGCGGCAACTCGACTTCTTCAGATGACACCGGCGCCTACACCGTCACCATCTCAGACAAAGCCTTCCACGAAACATACCTCTGGCCGTTCTACGACACCGTCTACAACGGCATGGGCGGCGCCATGTGCGCCATGAACAAAGTCAACGGCACCTACTCCTGCGAGAGTCAGGTCCTTCTCGCCAAGTACCTCAAAGTCGAGCTCGGCTTCCCCGGCATCGTTCACGCCGACGTCAGCGCCCAGAAGACGGGCATCAACGCCGCCAACGCCGGCATGGACCTCTCCTCCAGCTCCTACTTCTCCAACACCACCCTCGGCGCCGGCCTCAACAACGGCAGCTTCACCATGGACCGCCTCGACGACATGGCCATTCGCAACATGATGGGCTACTTTCACCTCGGCCAGGACCAGGGCTACCCCGCCCACGCCGGCGTCACCGACCGCGTCGACAACCGCGGCAACCACAGCGCCATGGCCCGCGAGTACGCCGCGAGCTCCATCGCCCTGCTTAAGAACACCAACAACGCGCTGCCCCTCGTCAACAAGTCCAGCATCAGCATCTTCGGGTTCCACGCTGGCCCGCGCTACGTCGGCGCCAACACCGCGCTCGGCGTCTACGACGGCGAGCCGTCCACAATGCAGGGCCACATGGCCGTCGTCGGCGGCTCCGCCATGGGCTCGCTGTCGTATCTCACCACGCCGCTGCAGCTCTTCAACCAGCGCGCCGCCACGGACGGTTTCATGTTGAGATGGTGGCTTAACGACACCTCCGAGACGTCATTCAGCGGCATGTCCGGCTCCGGCACGGAGCTGACCGAGTCCACGACCGGCGTGGCGGACCTCTCGGATGCGTGCGTCGTCTTCCTCAACGCGTGGGGCGGCGAGGGTGCCGACCGCACGGAGCTGACCAACGCGGACCAGGACACCCTCGTGACGACCGTCGCGGATGTGTGCAACAACACCATTGTTGTGATCAACACCGTCGGCCCGCGTCTGGTGGATGCCTGGATCGAGCACGAGAACGTCACTGGTGTGCTGTACGGCGGTGCGCTGGGCCAGGAGTCCGGCAATGCTATTGATGATGTTCTTTTCGGCGCGGTCAACCCTTCTGGAAGATTGGTGCACACCATCGCCAAGAACGAGAGCGACTACAATCCCGACACGATCATCAGCGAGACGGAGCTGAACCTGGATTTCTCGGACGGCAACTACATTGACTACAAGTACTTTGACTACTACAACGTCACTCCTCGCTACGAGTACGGATACGGTCTTTCCTACACGACTTTCGAGTACTCTTCCACAGCCGCCGTTGAGTCTTCCAACCTCACCAGCGGATTTGCCACTGGCGACAAGTCCGTCGGTGGACGCGAGGATCTCTGGGACATCGTAGCTACCGTGTCCACCAGCATCTCGAACACGGGCTCCGTCGCCGGCGCTGAGGTTGCGCAGCTGTACATCTCTTTCCCCGACGTCGCTGGCGAGCCTGTCAGGCAGCTGCGCGGCTTCCAGAAGGTAACGATCCAGCCTAGCCAGAGCGCCGATGTGACGTTCTCGTTGAGACGTAGGGATCTGAGTGTGTGGGATGTTGTTGGCCAGGAGTGGAAGGTGGAGAGCGGAGAGTACAAGCTGTATGTCGGTGCGAGCAGCAGGGACTTCAAGGCGCAAACGACCTTGACTGTTGCTTGAACGAAGAAAACGTATTTCTTGTTCATAGTTGTGTGAGCGCTTTGTACTTAAATCATTTATCGTCACCATTTCCGAATCTGCAGCAAATATTATCGTCTTACGTTCCACACAGACAGGTCACGCGAGTGATGCCCGTAGTTCCTTCTACACAATCTGTTACACTCCGTGCACTGATTATTGGACCTGAACCGCCTCAGTCTCACCAAAGTTTCGTCGTCATCGCTCGATGTAGTAAGGTGCCAGTGGCTCGTATCTCATACAGTGCAATCGGTATCACTTCTCATTCCACCAAGCTGTCTCCCTGTCAGATGGCTCAACGGTTGACATTGCCGCGTTTTTTTACTGGTGGGTTTTGCATATTGTCTTACCACATTATCTTGTTAGCACCCTGTCAATCGCATCCACGTGTAGCAAGGCTTTCTTCAAGGCAAATTGAGGCGCTCAGCTGACCATCGTTCCTCGTAGTATTTCGGGAGACGCCTCGTCAGGATGGGAGGCTGTCTCATGGATCTGTTTCCCGAAAATAAGACAAAAGGAAAAAGACAAAGTCAAGCTTCCCAATGTCGGATGAAATTGAAAACTCAAAACAGTCGACTGTCACAGAATGGCGATCCATTCTGACACTCGTAGTCTTCATCATAAGCAGTAAGCGCACTCATGGTATCGTCACTCTCTTCTCGCATGATCTGATTGTATAGCAGGCCTCATCGTTGCTTTCCCATTTAAGATACATTTACCATGCCCAAGCCGTTTTTCCAACCTGATTCACGACTGTTTGGCCACAGCACGTATTGTTGCGGCCAGGCGTTCTCCCATCCGCCCGGATGCAAGACCGTGGGCGGTCATAGTTGTGCCTTTGGACCTAACAACGGCCCCGTTGCTTGCGGTTCTGCTTCTGCTGGCAAGCACGGCTATTGGCAAGCGGCAGCTTTTAGAGGGTACAATCGGCGCAAACGATATCTCGCCGCTCGACATTCTCGTTTTTGCGTTCACTCTGGGCTATATTTCAAGCTCAATCGATGCAGCAGGGTTTATACGATATCTCTGCTGCAAGGTCCTCCTTCGCTATGGCAACGTAGGTCATCGACTGTTCTTCTTACTTTACTTGGCAATGTTTCTCTTGGGGTTCTTCTTAGGAAATGACCCAGTGATTCAAATGGGCATGCTCTTCATGACTTATTTGACCCAAGTATCGAAGAACATCAAACACCCAAGAGCGTGGTTATTCACCCAGTTTGCGGTGGCAAATATCGCTTCTGCAGCACTGGTTTCATCTAGCACCACAAATGTCATCATCGCCCAAGCATTCAGAATCGGATTTGCTGAATACACAGTCAATGTTATTGTACCGGTCGTCGTCACCGCCAGCCTGTTATGGGCTTATCTACTGTACATTGTGTTCGCCAATGAGGGGCTGCTTCCAGTCAGCATTCGACTGTCAGAAATGCCCGCTGGGGCTCAAATAGAGGTCAACCCGAACTTGCCTTTCACAACGATCCCAGCATCACCTTCCAGTATCCTCAATCCATTGTTGGACAAGAGAAGTGTGCTTGTTGGTTTATTTCTGATGTTAGCAACACTCGCAATACTCTTATCTCTCACTGCTCTGAACTTAAACGACATTCCTGTGTTTTGGGTGTCGTTACCAGCGTCCTTTTTGATGCTTTTTTGGGACATTGTTTGGGGCTGGATGAACCGTGACGAGACTCGCACACTTCCACCAGGTCATCATGGAGAGATCAATCTGCGTCAAAGCAGGCTCCAGCGCTTGCAAACTAATGACAGAGGTCTGGAGCATGCACACTCTCCTCAATCATCCTTGAGCGACGAGAATTTCGCAATATCTCCAGGACATCATGAAGAGGCCAATTCTCCTGACTCATACGTGCCTGAATCTCAAAGTGGCATGCAACAGGACCTCGATGTGAACCAAGTCCAAGCGTCAGATGACGCGGATCAACAACACTGCACTGCCCAAGAGAGCCAGACCGATACTTCCATTTTCCAGCAAAGCAACCTTGGCAGACAGGCAGAACTGTCGGAAGATTTCGCCCATGCGGAAACGATCATTACGGACACTGCTGTGGTCCATTCAACCTCTCCTGAGATGTCGGCAACAACGAACGATGCAGTAAGCGACACTCGCCCTTCGGCTGATCCCCAACTACTTCAGTCGCCTTCAGTCGAATCGCCAGATTCGCCCCGAGTAACGCATTGCCCACCCACCATGATGTCTGTATTTGGAAATACATGGCTTTGGCTGCAGACGACATTTCCCTCAACAACGGTGGTCTTGTCCCGCCTTCCCTACAGACTGTTGCCGTTCGTTTTGCCGGTTTTTATACTCGTTCAAGCACTCGTTTCGACCGGATGGATCGCTTTATTTGCGAGCTGGTGGAACGCATGGGTGGTCAAGACAGGTACCACTGGAGCGGTTGCAGGAATGGGATTTTTATCCGTACTTCTATGCAATGTATGTGCGTTATCCGTCATGTGCAAAGTACCATCTGACAGCATCTCCAGTTTGCAGGGACGAACGTTGGTGCTACGATTCTGCTTTCTCGCCTCCTTCAAGAATGGATTGACATACGCGCTATCAGCGGTGTTGCAATCAGTAAACGAACCCTTTGGGGTGCTGTGTATGCGCTTGCATTAGGCGTGAACTACGGCGCTTTTTCACTGACATTCAGTGCCTCGTTGGGCGGTTTAGGGTGGTATGAAGAATTGAAAAAGAGACACATCCACTTATCACAACGAGAATTTGCAGGAGTTAACAGGCCGATAATAGCGGCAAGCATGATCCTTGGTTGCACTGTTCTGCTAGGGGAAGTGTACATTACTAGAGACAAAACAGCTTATCAAGGTAGATAAATCGCTGAGAATAATTCTAGCCATCCATCAGTTGATGTCAAGATTGCTGTGAGGTGCATGTAATGTCAGAGAAACACGACCGTGGTGGCTGATATGTTGAGTGTTCCAATTAGGCAATCTAAAAACCTTAACCGTATCACCTTGTGGGGACTTTGAAGTATCTTCCTTCGCTCGATGCTTTGATTAAGTACCACTTCTCAGACGACAACAACTAATACCTCCTGACATTTTTCTTAATCCCGAGCAACTGATAACTAGATTGAAGGTTTGGAAACGCGCCAAAGTTGCCAAGATGTTCGCATTCTTCAAGCAGTACTTCGGATCGCGTCAAGCGCCGACTAGTTCCATTTTGGGCGTAACCGGTCGGTACGACTTCCTCGATGAGGACTTGTCCGTCCGCCGAGATATCATCCAGGACATTCATCGACTACTTCAAGCCAACGCAGCCTTGCTCAAGAAAGAAAACAGAGGTGATTATGCCAAGCTTGTCGACACTTCCCGACCTGTGGTTTTTAATGATCGCGATCTTCTCAACCAGGCGCGGTTCTGGGCGGCACTTTGGTCTTTGGACCGCCCGCGTCTCGACGCTAGCCATCGTAGTCTGTTGGAGAACGAGGATGGCTTTCCTGGGGCACTTAGAAAACAGGGACTAAGAGACGAGTAAGGCGTAAAGGAGGACGATGGGGACCACGATGACTACAAGAGTAGTAACTCACGTCCACCCACGAGTTTGATTTAAGTAGTCGCTCAGGATTAGGTTCTCTTCCTGTCTATTTATCACTGGTCTTATGAACTTCTGAAGGAGCCCGAAGATGGGCAACGCGACGATGTAACACGATTTAGATGAATGATAGTGCTGCTCGATAAGTCGACAACAAAATTATGGGCGCGGATGGGGCGAGCCAGGGTGGCAGAAGACAGGCGTCGATCATGGTAGGTACATGTAGCCAACAGCGTATTGTTCGTTCGCTCGAGCTTTTTTCACCCTGCGGACGTTGACCAAGGGTAGTAATTCAAAGCATTGAACATATCCAAAAGCTTCATTAACCCAATGAGTAGTGTTCAGACCATCACATCCCATCCCTTACACCGAACTGGACTTCGAAAAAACAACCTCGGATCCGCCCGGTCCACGTCATGATCCAGGTCAGCCGCATCTGACGAAGAGATAAGCGCTGAGAGCAAAATGAAGAGAGACCCCCGTTGATAAGGTGCTGTAACACTAGTGGGTTGGACACTGTCAATATGAAAATAGACTCCAAGGAATGCCTGGATGGGCAAATTTTCCTACCTTTTGCGAGTTGGGCCTCGTTCAAGGGAAACATTTCTCTGTCAGGGACCCGTGTGGACAACGTGGCGTACAAAATAAAAGTCGATCTTCTTTCGCATTGACAACCATGCAATACACTACTTCTTCGCATACAATTTCCACCCATGGATAAGCTTGAATTCGAGCAAAGCCTCTTGTAAGTCCCTGGAAAAACCAGTGCGCAACATGAACACCACGGTAGATGGGTACACTTGTCCCAGCCTGAGCTCTCGTTTCGAAGATGAGTTGTCCACTCGACTTGACCTCATTGTCAGTATTCACAACCACCTTCACACAGATAAAAAGAAGCTCAAATTTGATGTTCTCTGGGACAAAGGCAGACCAGGTGATAGTACCCGCCCGCGGACATATCAGCTTGGCGACGTTTTGCCGCAAGTGCGTTTCTGGGCTACGCTTATGTCCTTGGACATTGACCGTCTGAGGGCTCTTCACGACGATACGCTGAACGATGAAGGTTACCACTTCAGCTTTTTCTAGGGGTGACTCCGGAGTTCGCCTGGTGGTGTGAGTTTGACCACTTATCCTTGCATGATCCGAGCTAACTGCTACAACCTAGTCATCCGTGTCCCTCCGGAGCGTTCAGAAAACACAGCCGACATCCGCGACGGCAATAGGTGTTGTATTACGGGCCAGAACGATGCTGAGCAATGTCATATCATACCTGTATGGACATCTATAAGACCTGAGAGAACCTTTCTCCTGCTGGCAAACTTGAAAGGCCTTCTTGATTTTGGAACCGTAGGTAGAATTCAGTGTACGGTCGATTTTGAGCTTCGCAAACTACCTGCAATGAATACACTCTGTCTGAGTCGACGATTAAAAGCTATCTGGCAAAGCGGAGGGTTTGTCTTGGAACCTCTGGGCTACGTCACAAGACGCAAGAAGACTCAAGAAGACGGCGATGCGTTGTGTCAGTCAAGTAGCCGGGACGCAGGCTCGTTCATGGCAGCAACCTTCCGATCGATGAGTAGATTTACAAAGATCGGCAACTCTCCAGAAACAACGACATCGACCGAAGGAAAAGACCAGGTCAACAGACAGGAGTCCAAACTCGAGTATGCCCTTGCCCAAAAGCTCATCAATTGTGGGTCACGTGAGCAAACCGACGCAGATGCTGATGAGCATGGTCTCCAATTACGATTCCAATGGCTCCCAGCAACCTCCCTCCATCACTTGAGAGCGAATGGGCCTGGGTTGCGCACTGATACCCGCACTATATTCAAGCCTTTGAAAGAGCGAGATGAGGAGTTTGGAGGCTACAACGCAGGCCAGATCACGGACGGCCAGATCTTTACAGTGTGGGCAGACAACATCAAAGACCTGCCCAACTGAGATTTCTTGCAGCCACGGTCCCTGGCGTGCCGCATCCATCGCTTAGGTGGCGGCGCAGATCCCAGTCTTTACGAGCCGCCACGTCCTGATTCGGATGACATGTTTGCAGTCGGCGAGCTGCATAGAAAGTTTGAGAAGTGTAAGCTGGAGAAGCGTCTTGCTAAGCTTCACAAGGAGCTAGGCGGCGACAAAGATGTCCTTGGTATGGATCCTACGAAATGCCACATTTGTGGCGCTGACAGCGACACAGGTTCGAGATGAACAGAGCCGATAGGGTTTGCAGGCCAGAGTTTGGGTGAAATTAGTGATCAGGACTCACGATGGGCCAGACAAGCACCGTATGAAATAATGTTCAATACCAAAGGCTCTCATACGCATTGCTTGATATGCACCAACGGAAACTAGACTGCTGGCCATGAGGAAAGATTTGGAGGAAGACATCTTTTTAACAAAGTAAATAGTCTCAGCGCAACAGCAACAATCATAACCGGCTATAACATGACGCTATCCAACTTTCTAAGCACAACCGTTCAAAAGGTCACCCTTCTTGGAGCAGCACGACAAGAACTTGTCAATGCTGGTGGTTACGCATTCCCGACCCGACAGACCCCCCATCGACCCGATTTCAATGCAGCAGTCTTTTGTATTTACTCTGCTATCGCATTGACAGTTTGCTCGTTTTGTCCTGCACCATTGCATATCAGTGAAATTCATGTATAATTGATGGGAGTATACGGAAGTAACTCTCTTACAATGATGGGATGCCTGTTGCCCTTCTCCATTGTCGCGCAAAGTAGCTGCCGTCAGAACGTCGAAGAAGGAAAACAAAGTGCAGAAAGATATCAAGACTCTCATTTTGACGGTGATGATTTGTTCGTGGGGAGAAGGTTGTCCATCATAAACTACGATCCATCCGAAGAGACATACACTCTACTTATAGAGCAACTAAGCACCAGGAAAGTGCGATGGTCTACCTATACTTGGTCCAACTCAGGGTGAGCATCTGAAGTTCTCACTGATATCTGAGCCTTGATGAAACACACTTCGTGTGAAGGACTGCTCGGTTGTCAACTAGGTCGGGGTAAAGTTCTCAAGCGTTCTGCTGCGGATGCTCTTAGGCAGATAGCAATCAACATGCAACAAAACTTGACTCGTAAAATCTGAAGAAGGGCCTTGTTAATTGTTCAAAGGGTTATTTTGGTTTAAGCATATCGCTTGGGGCCAATGCGACACCGAGTAGTAGCAGGTTTGTGGGTCGGCCTTGCCGCAGTAGTTTCCGGACGTATCCGGGGGTGTCTTCCAGGTCGGCTTGACAGACCCGACCACCTTTCATTGGAATCTTTGCAGACTTCAGGCCAGAATCGCGGCCCATGAACTTGTTACACAGCATTATATTGGGAAAGACAACGGCAACCGAATGTAGTTCAAACGGTGACCTTTAGGCGTATGTTGTTGGACAACAAGAATACCTTTGCCTGCAATACAGCCGCAGCATTCGGCCCTCAACGCCAGACATTCTTGGACGTGGGATCAAATCGTCTGTGAAACTCGGATTTTGCAGGCCCCGTGTTCGGACCAACCCGTGATGCAGGTGGGGAAATTCGCCCCGAGTCGGCGGAGTCATCCGGATTGCACGGACAATTCTACTCATAAAACATGCCGCCCTCCAGCAACATGGCATTGTATTTCGGGGTGGCCGTCTGCCTCAAATTTAAGTGTTGCTGGAAGCACAGATCTGAACATGACATCGATCGACAGTCTAGACAAGGCGAGCAGACCGACGAAGATCAATATAATGCCATCTTCTCCTCCCCCAGAATGAGGGCAGGCTCATCATCGCACCCACGAGTCTATCAGAATCAGCATTCAAGTAACTACGCATTCGTTACAGTCACTCTTTTCATCTGCTTTTGATCCTTTCATTTGTTCTCAACCATTCACTCCAACACCATTCATACGATCACCACAACCTTCACTCGCTCCAAACATCACCATGCGGTTCCTCAACATCACCACCCCCGTCTGCCTCCTCCTCGCCACTCTTTCTGCGACCGTAACCGCCTGCGACGGCTACCTCTTCTGCCATTGCTATAACTCCGACGGAAAGCCCAATGACGTCGCGACCGAAACGGTCTGTAATCGATTCGCCAAAGGACAATCAAAAATGATCGACGCCAACCAATGGTCTGACGGTGCAAGGGAATGTCGGTACGCTGGTCCCGAATTCACTCCCTATGATCGCACCCGCCCCGGCGGTAACGTGAAGGCCTACGGCTTCGGTAACTGCGACTGGCGGGTGATGTGCCAAGAAGCCGGAGCCACCGGCAAAGACTCCAGCTGCAGGGATACACCGCCTGAAGGCCCCAAGAGCCTCAATTCAATTTATATCGTCGGGCACAACTAGACCAGAGATTTCGAGACTTGTCGCCAAGACTTAGGCCCTGCTTCTTTTGTGTTATATTTGGCGCTTGGGGGCAAACAGCTACCTAAGGAATAGGGAGGATGGATTGGCTTCTGTCGTGTATTGCTGTAGGTCTTCAAGGTGGTACAATGATGGTCTAGGCACGCTTCTTGCCAGGTGAAAGAATTTTGCATTACAAGCTCCTATACGCATTACCATAGACTTAAGAAGGAAAGCAAGACTATCATGAGTTTCCGAGATTCTCGGCCAGCGAAGTCCTTTCTACGTGCTCCGAGAAGCTTTTATGTGCCGTCAGTTTGCTTAAATCTATCAATCTCGAGTCGCATTCGGTGAATCCAGTCTTGAGTGCTTTCCATGGTGGGCTTGCCACGGAGCTGAGGACGTATCCACGCACCGCCTGCGGAACAATCCATTTGGCCAGGGCGTCTAATTATAACAACAACGGGCATCGACACTCTCTCCCCAGGACTGCCAGCTCTCTTTCGAAGGTCTATTCATTCATTTCAGTCATCTCTCTCAATAGCCACGTGGAGGGTCAATGCAGCAGCAACTGGGACAGCAATGCCTGCTTTCCAAGAAGATGAAGACAACGCGCCATTCGCAGTGTACCAGTTCAAATCATTCACCGCAAGTCACTATTCCAACAAAGGCAATTCCAAGACAACTGTAACTATATGGATAATTTCAAATCACCTTGACTGACCATCATCTGTCCGGAGATGCTAACCTATCGCTGTACAACCCGATCTGTGCGGAAAACGACGACATGCGTGACGTCTGGGCGAAGTTGGCAGTTGTTCAGGAGTGTCACGTGCGGCAGGAGCGTTTTAGGAAGCTCAACGTCCAGCTCTCGACGAAGTTGAAGACGACGACCTCGAGGCAAAGATGAATGGAATAATTCAGAACTCAGCAAAGCCTCGTCTATATCCTCTAGTAGGCTAGATTTTGACTTGCGCTAGTCGCCAAAGTCCGTTAACTTTACATGTTTCTGGCCATAGGGCTCAAGCTCAAGGAAATCTTGCGGTTCTGTGAGCGGATGAGAATTAGGTCAGATGTATCCGTACGCTAGCGTCCGAAGCCCAGGAACTAAATGGTTACCAAGGCAGATGGGCATTGGAGATGAGAAACAACTAGAATGCTTGAACATGAAATTATGCAAACGTCCTTGAGATCTTCCATGGCGTTGAGCAGTCTGTTTGACGAGTACTAACAAGGACAGTGCTTTACATGCGGTACAGGGAGAGACAGGCTTTCACAGCAAAGTAAGGGAGAGCGATGGCGGAGGTCAAATGGTCAAAATCAGACCAACATCTTGAACCACGTGATTCGACCAAACATTCATGTCGTCAATGAGTCCACATTTACGCCATTACCTTCGTCTGCCATCAGAAGCAGCAAAGTCATTCACGGTGGTGATTTCGCACCAACACAATTGACAACTGTCTTTGAGGAAGCGCATCAACTACCACGGCTGTTGTTGGTTTCGCGGTATTAATTAATCAAACGTCCGTACTTCAATCGTTATGACCTGCCTTTACTTCTGGATAACAGTCTCCGGTGGACAGCCTAGCAGTTTCGGGATTTGTGTCCCCACCCCCACTCAACCGTGACCGGATAAAAAGGCGGGATGCCGATGTTTATTTATGTTCGGACTAGGCGAAGGCAACTTGGATAAGACAAGGTCTACACCCTGTTGTTTGCCTCCGATTCTGATTATTCTGGACTCAGATGATAACCTCAGAATGTCCAACAGCGAAGCCAATTAGTTCATGTTGCGTTGAGGCGGATTCCTCATTTGCCAATACTGTGGGTGCCCTTTCCCCTCCGTTCCCCGATTGAATGACAACACACAGTTGCAGCTGGCAACTGCATTGGCTTTTAGGTGTTGTTAGCTGTTCAAAGTTGATGACACATGTTGTCGAGGCGCTAGTCCAGATGAACGCCGGTTCGTTCGGCAGCGTCGATCGAATGCTTATCGGACGACGGATCGTGAGTTTCCCCACGCAAAAGACAGCCGCCGAGTTCCACCTGCACAGCAGTCGCGCGGCTGCTGACATGAGCACGTCCTCGTGTCCCGTGTATCCCGTGTGTGCCGCCAATCGCCGGGTGGCCGGCACGCTGCGTGACATTCCAAGACAGGGGCTGGCAGTGGCCCTCTGGTCGCCGCGAGTCAGTATCCCCGGTCATGTTGGCTCTCACAGCCCGAAAAAGAAAGTCTGTTCCCCTGAAATCACGGAACTTATAGCGCATGTTGTCTCTGTTAGATTGTCTTTGCCGGAAAACATGCGGCATGTTAATATGGAATCGAAGCCGCGCCTCGGTACTGCTCCACGGAGAGCCGACCTTGATTGGACTTTAATGTCTCCGTTATCAGATTTTTGACATCATACTGATCATAGCTGTAGGGCGCAACTGCCTGGTCAGGCCGCATGACCGTGCTGTTTGTTCTGAGTTGCCGTGCTACCCCGGATGTACTAAATTTGAGTTTTTGAGCCTGTTGAATCAAGCATTGTTGACAGTCGACCGAGAGAATGGCTAAGCATTCTGCCGCTATTCGGACCGGGTCTATCTCGAAAACATGGGGATATCTCCTTTTCGGTAGTGTCCGCCTCGGAACTTGACAATGGCACCTCTAACTTAGGTAATAATCGTCCAAAGCACTTTACACATTAAGACGGTCCACTTATACAGACGTCACTATCTGTCGTTGGTTGATCCATTCGCGGGGGTTCCTTCTGGATCGGAACACTGCATCCTTGTCAAGATCCACGATCATCGCCCCAGCGAGTCTCCGCAACAGCTATGTAGAGTTGCAATTAGAGATGGCCCGACATGGTACAAGGCAGTGGGTGTATTCCGAATCCGAACTTGGAAAACATGCAGATCAGTTTACTGCCGGCAGATATCAGTGGCTGGGAAACTCTATAAAGACAGCCCCCATTCCATCTCGAGAGCTACTGATCACACCATCATCAACCAGTCAAAACGCCTGCTTCTCAGACCTTCTTTCGCCCAACCTCCAGTCCCTCTTTGTCCGTGTACATAACCCAACTCCAAAATGAAGGTCATCACCGTTCTCTTCAACCTTGCCTTGGCCGCCACCGCCATGGCCGGTGCCGTCGACACCCGCGCCCTGGAGCCCGGCTTTGCCGAGCGCGCCTGCGGCACCACTGGAGGTAAGTGTCATGTTTACTCCCTGAACATACAAAGCGTGGAACTAACGCCGGCTTGTTTACAGCTCCTTGCACCAGCGGCGACGACTGCTGCACCTACTGCGACCCCTACTCAGGCTGGACTTGCACTGACTCTACCAGAGCCTGTGTCGAGAAGGGCAGTAAGTTCACATCAGTCTATCTCCCGTGGAGGTATATTGCAGTTTTGGTCGCTAACCATTGGCTTGTCCAGCTGTTCCCGCTCTTGGCCAGAACGACTGCTGCAGCTACAAGGTTGACGCCGATGGCAAGTGCACGTAAACACTTGTGGCGACGGGTGGAACCCCCGGGGGAGGGAGGCATGCGATGTTGAAGACCCTTCATCCTGTGTACATGAGTTTCAAGTTTCAAGCGTATATATACCAAATCGAACATGCAATGAATGCACGTGCTGCAAAATTGACACGGATGCCTACCAAAAATTTCATGAAATTAGGCAGTCAGGAGATGGGTGCAATGTGCTTTCGGTGTTCAACTGTCGCCTCCAGTTCCCGCAAGTCATGCTTCGCCGCCAAATATCATCTCACGTGCCAGAGGAGAAAGCCATCTTGTGACTTGTACTCTCGGTCGTCAACCGACTCGTCTCTATGACAAAGCCAAGATGTCTATTCCTTCAATATCCCATCAGGTTCGACATTGGCATTTCTTTTCTTAGCTTCAATCGACAGGCTCGACTGTAAGGAGAACATAGCATAGTGAAACATATTTTCGTTCTTCCAACTTGCTTTTGTGTTCAACGGGATGGATCTGAAGATTAAGCAGCGTCAATATCTACGACCCGGTCGTCGTGTATCTTGTCCACACCTCTGGGAAAAGTTGCGCCTGAACGATCGGACCGTCACGCCTGTCAACATCATGAGAGTTTCGAACTGTATCCCAGCATGACTTGACACCAGCTTTCGAACCCCCGGCGATCTGGGCCAGTCTGGTGTAGACTTTATCGATATGACTCTCTCTGGTCATGAACCTTTCGGGACCAAATAAAGTATTTCCGCACCCATCGCTCCGGGTTATGTCGTCGGCAAAGGTCGAGCCACACTGCTCCTTTGAACTAAAACAACGTTATGACATGAACGCATTGTCTCCAACTGGCTGGGATTGGGGACCATACCTCCTGTGACGATTTCAGCTCGGCGATATCACTTCTCGTTAGCACAACACTCCACCCAATGAACTTGGCGCACATCTTTTCATACTTTTTGTTCAGGCTCCAATGCAAACACAAAGCCTCCTTTCTGACGTAGTCGCGTTGTATTCCAGCCTCGTCAATGTCTGCAAGAGTCCTGGCAGTACAGCACTCGTTTGATAGGTCAAAATACCCATGTATGTCGCCTGACTCGTCACAGGCATCGTGGCATTCGGGAACGACTGGATCGATGTTGCATGTACAAGGAAAACCTTCGTCTGAATGCCAGGTCTCGAGGTCTCTCGGGCAATGCACGAGTGACTGAATGCTGACCGACGATTCGGTGTTACATTTCACAGCTTCTGACGGGAACGCCAGTCTTTCGCGCCCGATGTTTATAGTTGAAACTGTGCTAATATGAATGTCAGCTTGGGAGAGAGCAACGGTTTTCGGCCGCCCGACGCTAGACAAAAACCTACCAACAGCATCCTTCATGGATTTGAACCATCTCCCAGCCCTCCATTTCATGTCTTTGATGAATGTTTTTCCGCGCATAGCCTGGCTTTGAACCAGAGAGAACGGACTAATGACATTTCCAGGCAAAACAATGACGAGGTGATCAAAGCAGATTACGAGAGGGGAGGAAATGCGGGGGTATGCAAGACATTGGAAGTCCTTAGAGGAGAAGAGGGTGGCTAGTTAGTAATTTCCACGGCAAGGGACTGTTCCAAGGTCCAACACAGTCCACCCTCTGAATGATTATTTGCTTTCTTGAGCTGGATCGAAGCCAATGATTTCAGCCGCCATCATAGTTGTTTTCTTCAAAATTCGCACGTCCTCTAACTAAAAATAATCATCTAGCTTCATAACGTTTTCTGTCCCTCAAATCTTGCCCGCAGGTAGTTTCGTATCTTTAGGGCATATTTCGCGAGCCCAAATAGATATAAAAAGTTCTAAAATCACACACGTACTTCAGAATCACATAGAAGGTCCTTGAGATATTGCGTTTCCCATCGTACTTATTGTTATCAGCAGGACCTTGAATACCTTGGTCAGAACTGGTTCACTAGACTGAAAAGTTCACTAAAAGTTTACAAATTGCCACACCACACTGGCTTGTCCTTCCATTGAACTTCCATCCCTACAAAAGCTTTCTCGACCAAATTCTTCCTGTCGGTTCAACCTCAAGTCCCGTTCCAAACGTTCGGCATCTGTCCTCTGACTGCAACCAACTTAAACAACAGGTCGCAAAACCCAAGCCCGATCGCCCAAACGAGAAGATTCCAGATATCGAAATTGCGAAAGTCGGGTCAATACCGATGATTGGAGGTTTGTGTCGTAATCATGCCACATCCGTTATTTAAGGTTTCGCTGCCGTTGAAGCCCAACCGACGACTTTGGGCGTCCGATAGCTGTTGGCCCTCAAATGATTTTGCCTAAAGTTAGGTTCAACTCGACGAAGAGAGGGGTAGATGAAGCTTGTTGGTTAGGATCCAGATGCCGAGGTGCACGCATTTCATGTTGTGCCATCGGCTGCCTTCCATTTACATGTCGCCTCCTCTCAAAGCGAGTGCATAAGCTGGCCAACGTATTTTTCTGTCCAGTCTTGACGACGTGGCCTGTACAATGGCTCACAGATACAATCTCCGTCCGAGGCCTGTCAAAAAGGCCGACAAGAATGACGAAACGATGAACCCCGAGGTAGTCAGTGTTGAACCTTCTGGGTATGAACGCCTAGTAACCCAGATCTGCCCCAAATACCTCACCAGAGACGAGGCCAACGAGATACGTGAGGAATTCGACAAAGTGTGGATAAAGGACAATCAACTCCTTTGGAGTGGCACCGATTACCATGTAACCAAGATCTGGGCTGCACAGCAAGGCCTTCAGACTCTAACCAATGCCATGGGCCCTTTGATGTGTGGGGGAAACGATAGATGCCGAAAAGCGACATGTTCGCAAACCTGGAGTCAATATATGAGGGGGGCCTCGGCACTCTTTGCCTGGCGAATATCGCAAGGCCGAGTGACGACAGTCTTGACACCTCCGCCCCCGCATCGATTTCACCCTTCAGGTATGACAAACTACCAAGACGTGGAAGAGCCAATCCTGAAGGGCATCCTCGGCAGATCAGTGGGCAAGATCATGATGATTCATCCGGAGGTTCTGGGCGCTGAAACCTTCGTCTACGAAGCGTGGCCTGCTGACCAGTGCGCGACGTGGGTGGCTAAATTCGGCGAATTCCCTGACAGAGACTGGAGAATCGTGAGCCCCAAGAGAGGTATGTTCTTTGGAAGATTGAAAACTGAGGCGCTATGTCTAATGTAGCAGCAGCACAAACAATTTGGCAGCCTATCGTCGGCGATACCCAGCCAAAGCCATTGCTAGAGGGCAGCCCTCTGGCAACCATTCATCAACTTCAGAACCAGTCAAAATTGAAAGACAATAAGTCAAAGCTTCACACAGCTATAAATATTCAAAACAGCTTCATCAAGCCAAACCCAGCTTCAATTAACGAGGCCCGACAGGCTAGACACGAACCACACGGATTTACGATCCTCGCCTTTTTACTATTTGTCGAAATCTGTCTATGCTTTCTGCTTCCCTTCGCAGAATTCTTGGTAAATGTTACAGCTGAACTCAGAAATCAGCATCAACATGACCATCAGCACTTGAACACTACCTATCAGAGCAAGCCCACAATCAAGACGTCCGGTTTGAAGATCTCGCTTAAGGCTATTCCTCAATCTGGGAACGGAGGAAGTTGCACTGCCTCGGGAACCAGCAACTCCCAACAGCCGAATTCCGCCAAAAAGAACACAACTGCTGACCCATCTTTGATAGCCAGGAAGATTGCAGAAATCTTAGGCGAAGATATTCCCCTGGAATCATTGAAGAAGAATCAGCGTAAAAAGCTTTTAAGGCTTCAGCAAAAACTTGTTGCGATACAAGCGCAAGCCGAGAATATGAGGGACGAAGTTACGAAATTCTGAACACAGCACTGAACACGGATTGGACGTGCCGAAACTTGGGAACATGATTCCAATGTCTAAGAGGGTTTCAAATGGGCTCAAAGAACTCCAGAAAGGGATAAAGGTTGATATGGGAGTCCAAATTCCTTTTGTTTCTTAGCAATTCGGACGTTTGTCATGGCTTTCTCCTTTAAAACAGTCCAAATATCGACACATTGTATTTCGAGTGAGAAGTTGAATAGAATAGCTCTGCGTTGACTTCTCTCAAATGTTTAACCGAATTTCGCGGCTGGCCTTCCTAAATTCAGATCAACATTCTTGGGTCCGCGATCTCACACCCCACAAGCTCATGAACCTTGCGGGTTCCCAATTTCTGACTCACACGACCAATTTCTCTGAGGGCGGGGAGGCTCGAGAACCTACATGGAACTCAATCTCGTGACAGAACTTAGACGACTGCATCTCCCAAATCTAGAACACGTTTGACTTCTGGAACTGCGGAGTAAGTCCAATCACAGCAGCCTAATGGCGTGATGGGGACACTCAATTTACTGACTTTCTGGCAGCTGTCTCCTGATCCCGAGGTGAGATCCGAATGCGAGCTCGTCATACCAGAATGAATAAAGGTCGACGCGTGGGCCTGATGCTTCATTCAGAATAATCTTACATAATAGTAGAATATCGCGAGGACTTCGCCGACAATGGATGAACTAACTGATGCATTCTACCACTGGCGTCTAGCAGCCCCTGGATACAACCGGCTCCTCAAAATCATATGCCCCAAATATCTATCGAGAAAGGAGGCGGACGATATCATGTGTCAATTCAACGAGATTTGGGTTAACGACAAGCAGGTTCTTTGGAGCGGCGTCGATCATGACTTGGCCGAAGAATGGGCAGAGCAGCGCGGGATGCAAACGCTCACTTGCGCCATGGGCCCTCTGATGAACTGGACCCATCCAAAGTGCAGGAGAATCTACAAATCTAGCGTACAATGGACCAGATACATGAAGGGTGTTTCCGCGATCTTCGCCTGGAAAATTGCCCAAGGCCAGACCACTACCCTCTTGACCCCTCCGCCGCCTGTCCGCTTTCACCCGTCTGGGTTGACAAATTACCAAGACATCGAAAGACCAATTCTCAAAGGGGCAGTTGACGGCGTAGCTGTTGGCAAAATTGTTGTGGTACATCCAGAGGTTGATGGGGCTGAGGACATGGCGTATGAATATTGGCCCAAGGACCATGTGGCCAAGTGGTACGCGAATTATGGTTCCAAGAAGCATGGAACTACGAGATGGAGAAAAATAAGTAAGAAGAGACGTAAGATAGTCTTTGAATCCCTTTGAAACCGGGTTCTAATCGAAACAAGGTGCTACAATCTGGCCAACCAAGGTAGATAAACACCCCGAACCTTCCAGAACGGAAACGACGGGTGAAATGGAGGCTTTCTTGGTCACTGGCTTACATCTCTTCGTCGCAGGTTGCATACATTTAGTTGCTTCATATGGGATACTGGTGTATTATTTTGCCTCCACACTCTACCCACGAAATCGTGGGTACAGTCGTGTGCATGATAAACCTATAAGGCTTATCATCACTCAGAGGAGTGATGTTGATCTAGACGTAAACGTTGAAGAAGCAGCCGAACCGGCTGCTTTACTCCTTTCTGTGCCTCGGTCATCACCCATGAAGACTGATGAGTCGGTCATGGATGGTGTCAAGAGACTCAGATGTACCGATGTACACCGGTATTCCACCAACGGCGGCAAAGGAAACAAAATGAAACGGCTGAAGTGCAGGCAGCGATGGGGTCCAAAAGACAAGATTGACAGTATGAGAAACTGAGCTGGAAAATTGCTCTAACACCTAGGAGTTGGGAAGCTGGACAGACATGAGGTCAGTCATGCTGAGACTTTCGTGGACAATCAAATTGGCAAAAGGGCTATCGGGATCTTTACGCAGGATGGAGTTTACCAAATTGCCACAACACCTGAACACTTGATGTATCGAATAAAATGGAATTGATACGTCTTTTCAAATTTTGTTCATTCACGACCAACTTCATATCGACTAGAAGCTCTGCCAAAGGTAAGAGTGAGTCCGTTCAAAGTTTTTATTAGTTGTGGACTCAAGAGCATCTTGAGGTCCTCATAACAGCTGTTGTGATCTTGTCCTATCGATCAAATTCATGTATTTCTACTTGCATACCCAGGCCTGGAATTAATTTGAAACTCCATGCTATCCTGCCAACAGCTTTCGAGTCGTTGTCATACCATCCGAGTCCTAGACAGCTGCTACCAACAATCGACATATGAAGGTTTCGGAGTATGTCGTTCATCTAATTCAACATTTCAATATCCCATTATGAGCGCAAACACGAATCAGAACAGGCACATGTTCGAAATAAAAGACATGAGATCGACCGAGTGTGGGCCAATACCTCAATACTAACATCTCAGTAATTCTCGGAGAATTCAGCGCGATGAGCAATTCTGTGTTACCTGATATCCTACAGCTACATCTGGTGTCAGACGGGATCATCAGCCCTCGATGAAGACCTGAAAGCCAGATCCCTCAGCTGTAGTCGCCGATCCCCTCAGGCATCGAGCGACCGTCATCCTACATCAATCCCATACAACCTCACGCACAAGAAGTAAAACTGCCCGAGATCATCATCCCGCCGACGGCCTCGGGCCTCAGAACACACATTCAATCTCGATATCTTCAACCCCTCTCAAACGGTTTGACGTCAGCGGTCTCACATCTCCTGCCTATCATCACGCAACCGCCCCAAGAAGCACGTGAAGAATCGCCCTCTCAGACAACGCCCTTGACATCACAAATCCTCCGGATCAGCTCACCAGAAGGACCCCTATTCCCCCAGCTAACCCACAGAAATCCATCCTCACCTCACCCATCGCCGTGCCCCGAAACGCCCCCGTTCCACAAGAAAAAGCACATCATTCAGCGACGATCAACGGCGTGCAGTCCCCTCTTCACTGGCGCAACGAACCTCCAGCCCAGCTCCAAAGCCAAGGGCGATGACCGCACAGCCAACCAGACGGCAGCAACGCGAACGAACCACTGGCGGAGGAGACGAGGACGAGAGAGGGGGCGAGCCGGTCTAGAACTGCGGGACGATCACTGGCGTCATCCACCACCCTCCAACGTTCCCCCCTCTCAGGGTCCTTTGGGTGTGCCCGTGTAGGGCAGGGAGCAGCGCCGGACGACACCCTCTCGAAATCTTAAGAGGTGAGGTGTGATAAGCAAATGCGAGGCAGCCTCAAGGACCCCGAAACGTCTTCTTGCAGGCGCGACCTGTCGCGCAGAACTCCAAGACGGTCCCCTCTCCTTGGGTATCAATCTCACACCCATTGACGAACTAGAACGTCGACGCAGGCCGTCGCAGCACTTCTGCAGCAGTCGATTTCAGGCCTAGACAGAAGATGCCAGAAACGCCGGCACGCCGGCGTGTCAGGATAGGATGATAATTCCCGACCCTCCATTCCGCCCCGAAAATTTTCCCTGAACAATCGTCCGAGATTGTTCGTCTTGTTGAAAGCTGAAAGTACCGGTACCTACGAAAAGCGCGATACGCCTGCTACAAGGCCAGGTTCAAAGCGGTACGGATCGATGCGCGCTGACTATCTGGGATGAGACGGGGATGGATGGGTCGCAATTGACCGAGATACATCAAAACAATTTGACGACGCAATTATCAAAAAACAAGTAAGCACACACGCGAGAGACAGACCACCTCAACAAAGCATTGTTCCCGATAACGCAAGCACTGACCCAAGAAACAACGCACAGCCTCGCGCGAAGCTAGCCGCCTCCCGACCACGGCCAAGGGAGAGAGAGACTGGGAGAAGAAGCACCGGGGTGGTCGGGGGAACAGACGCCCCCCAACCAACCAACCAGCCAACCAACTCAACCAGTCCAGCCTCTAAGAGTGTAGATGCAACTAGGGACCCTGCCAACGCTGCAGAAAATAACAGCGAGCGAGCGAGCGCACAGAGGTTTCTCTGTCCCCTTTTGGGGAGGAAGAGGCAAAACAAGATGCGCACATCTCATTTCCACCGACGTTGGCAGTGGCAGAAGCCCGTCTAGTTCCCCATCCACATCACACCGCACGCGCATGGCGAAATCCACTGAGGCGAGGTTGGCATCTCGAGAAAAAACCGTGCCACAATTAATCCGTTAGTGTGTAGGTTTCTCAGAAGCGAGTAGTGCCAACGGTGCAGGCATGGCAAGTATGTGATATTTCGCCGCGCAACGCCGTGCGTCGTATCCACCACGTCTCGGTCTGATATGATGATGATGTGGCCGTGGTCCGGTGGCTCCACTTAAGCAGCCTCAGCATCGCAAACTGCGAACTGCTGGTCTGTAGTGGGAACTTTTTCAGCTTCGGAAAACTGGATCTCGCGGGGTTGGGGCGTTCTGGCCAGCGAAAGGCCGGATGCACGAGCGGTTGCTTATCGTTTTCCTCGCGGAGGCGGAGACGGTTGAGAGTAGTCTATTATCTGGAGAATGGAGACGCAACGGCTGGCTGACGAGACACGATGCGTCTGTCCGGATCTGTTTACGGATATGCTTTGAGGGGCCTGGAGATAAGAGCTCTCTGTCTCAGTTGAAGCAGCGGCATAAGCACAGTTGCGGGTACAGCACCAACAGCATTTTCTATTCACAGCACCCAGGCTCACGCAGGGGGTGTTGGAACAGGACAAACACTCGCAGCAGCTTCTGTCCGACATTTTGTGGACAAGGGTTGAATGAACGAACGGAGATCGACGCGTCCGTTCGCCTTTCCGCAGACCACCACACACGCAACCCACACGTCCACATTCTCTCCGAAAGAGCAGCCAGCCCGCAGATTGGACGCAGCCGTTCATTTCGAGGTTCCCGTCCATCTCACCATCTCCATCTGCTTCCGCGCTTACGGCCCCATCCCATGCCGCAGGACCCGTTCCGTCTTCGCTGGGGTTGCTCGAACACTCACCTAGGCTGTGTTGATCGTCTCGTTTCTCCTCCTCCTTCTCAACATTGCCCAGCCCCAAGGGCCCCATTCGCAGTGCACACACATTGCACCAGCGGAGCCTCCACCTCTGCCCGCATCTTGACACGGTCTAGACTGAGCCCATCAAATCCTTCCTCCTCTCACCACACACCGAGCCCTGCCGCCTAGCCCCAGCACCCCGTCTGATCCACGGCCGACGCGCCGTTCTCAGATCGACAAAGGCCTCTTGTCAAATGAAGACCTTTCGAATATGTCAAACGTCCAGCGCCTACTGTTACCCAAACTACAGCTTGAGTTATCACCGACAGCAGAGCCCCCCTCCGCGGCCGGAGCCACACATCCATCGCCGTGCCGGCGTCAACATCAAAAGACTTTGCCAGAGATGCAATGTTCTCTCTCTAAACGAACCCGGAGCCCCTCTTCTTCGCCTCCTGCCTGCTACATGGCATCTGTAACTTTCACAAGCCCCGGGCTCCTCCCCCTCGTACCCGCATCCGTATCTGAGCGGAGCCAGCTATCCACCCCAACAGCAACAGCAACCCGCAGCGGACGAAATATCTCAATAATTTCCTCATGCACGTAATTCGCCTCCTTCTGCACGACACAGACACACGCCTTTTGTTGCGCCTCTTCCCAGTCCTCATAATGCCGCGTTGAAATTCTCGCCATCTTACGTACGCTCCAAGGCAACAGCAACCACCACATAGACTCGCCGACTGTCGGCCTGTCGGGTTTCGATAGGTCTTGCAGCAACAACATTGGTCAATTGGCACGAAACAAAACCACTCACGCAACCGCACTTTTCGTAAATGGACCAAACCCTGGTCATGATCGGGGTATTTCGCACAGCCAGCACGCTGCAAACCCTCTGCGCCCTATAAAATCTGCGCGCAACAAAAACCCGCGCAGCATCTCCGTCCCCCGTGGCCCCCTTGTCGTCGCAGCATCACGCCCGGTCTAGCCTCCAAACCTCCAAGCTGCAGCGGTCTCAATCTGTATGTCAAAGAAAAAGGCCGCATCTCATCGCGGATCAAACGCACGATGATATCGCATCATCGCAGCCAAGCATTTTCCAACCTCGCACCCAGAGCCTCACCTCGCCTCTTGTAACCATATCCACATCCAAAGGGCCATGTTCCTCCAAAACCCCCCAAGCCCATCTATCAAGATCCCGCCATCTACCATCCAAACAAAGAAAGAAAAAAACCACCAGATCCAGCACACACACCCTCCTCTCGCCAGCACTAGCCCATCTCCAACTCGACCGAAACCAGCCAGCAACAGCTCTTCCCACCCGCCACAAGCCAAAACCAAGCGGCCGCCATCGCTGCCAGAATAGCACAGCAAGCAAGCCCCAAATCAGCCGTTCGTTGTCCGACCCGTCCGCCATCCGTCAACCACCTTCCAGCCTCCGAACCCGGCAGTCGCAGCGTCAAAGCACCCACCCACCCATCCATCCATCGAGTTGTTTATTCCCGTAGAAACAACAGCTGAACCTGTGTCCGCCAGAGCTCCCTGACTCTGCTCTTCACCGCACTGACAATAGCGCCCAAGCCCCGGGGCAGGGTGTGTGTAGTACCTGGCCGCCACCACCACCTTCAAAAGACCTTACTAAACAGCACTAAACAGCCAGCGAGCAAGCAAAAAGGGGGACTAAACTTCCCCAACAAGAATAAACTTCCTCCCTGCACGCCGCCAACACCCAGACCGTCGTCTGTCCGTGGTGTCTTGTGGTGTCTGTCCCCTTTCTTGAAGAAGAGGCAGCATGAGAATTTCAGGATAACCGGCTTTGATAGTCAGATAGCGTGTTGATTGGCATTGGACATCT